CGGGCGTTTTGGCGGTGGTTAAGGTAGACGTTGGTATTCGATATAGCCCAGCGATGGTTATTTTTTTAGCGGTAGCAGGTGGCAGTACTGAAGCCAGCAGCCTTCTGACGTAGTGTGGCAGTTCCTCTTGGGGGACCGTGGCCGGGATGCCCCTTATTTTTACGTGGTTGCGGTGGTACCTGTCCTCCTGCGCTGCCACCTGTAGTGTAAGGGCCTGTTGGGCTGCTTGTAGTTGGGGTATAGATGCCTGCATGGTGGAGGTGTCTTGGCTTAGCTCCTTAACTTTTGCTTCAGTTGCCTCCATTCTGCCTGTTAGTTGATGTAGGGATGATTTTAGGATAGGCAGGTCCGCAGTGAGGAGGTTTTGAATGTCCTGCAGCATAGTGTACAGGGTTTGGAGGTCCTGTTTGGTTGCAGGTTCAGAGTTACCTGCTGATGCTGTGGGCTGTTGCTGTGAGCTCTCTGTTGTGTTCTGCAGCTGAAGTGTTGCAGATGCCTCTGTGTGGGGAGCCTCTGGTGAGGTCGGGCCTTCCGCGGCCGCCATCTTGGCGGAGGTGTGCCGTTGGAGCATAGCTCCTATGTCCCTCTGTTCTGGAGCGTTACTGGGGGTGCTCTTCTGATTTCTACGCCCCATCTCTGTGTTAGCAGGTGATGTAAGGGTCGGCCACCACTCTGCTGTGTTTCCCGCGGGGTCTCCGCCCCAGAGAAACTCGAGGTCGTGGTTGGCGGGTGTGTGGTAGGCCCCGGTCCTGCGTCTTCCTTTTAGATGCTTCGGGGAGTACTGGAAGGGCATCTGGGGATTCGGTGTGGTGTCCCCAGGCTGTAGCTGATGCTTACACCGTCGGATGGCGGCTAGTCTCCAGGATATTGTCTAGATTGTGGGTGCGATCGACGGAGCTGGGAGAGATGGCGTCCGGTCCGGTTCAGCACCAGGCTCCTCCCCCCACCCCTCTTTCTAAAGCATTTCACTCTATAGGCAGCCTGTGATAGGCTGAGAGCATCAGCTGATGGAGGAGAAGGCAGAGGGGCTAAGTAGACAGGCACATGAAAAGAAAATAACTTTGGGTTAGCTATTTAAAAAACACTTTAACTCCATAAGGTAAGATGGTGTACAGGGCCTGAAGATGTCATAGCGACTTCAATTAGAAGAAGTTGTTATGGATC